TGAAAAAAGATGGGATTGATATGTTAATGTCATATACGTCCCGTCTGGCAGACGATGAGAGTGTGTAGGGGACTGTGACAGACCAGCGTGACGGACCAGTGTGACAGACCAGCGTGACAGACCAGCGTGACAGACCAGCGTGACAGACCAGCGTGACAGACCAGCGTGACAGACCATCGTGACAGACTTCATTAATATACAAATCAAAAGGAATGACGTCACGAGTAATATCAACAGAAATGTTATATTTTAATTATGTGGTTGTAATATGAGGCCCCAGGCTCCCCAGGGTACTACATGTCCTCTTCTTCAAGGCCAGGGGTCCTTACAGGCACGACCATAGGAGGTACCCCCCCCCCTTCACACACGCCCCAGTTGATTGACAATGGAGACGCGGGACATAACCAAAGAGCCAAAGCTCAACCCTCGCAAGCACAGCTAGGTGAGTACAACTAGGTGAGTACACACAAACACACACACACGAAAGCCACACTTTCTAACTTCAGAATTGCTTTTAAATACACGGATGGCGATATACTAAAGAAATTGTTCACGACTTTTGTTAGGCCAAAGCTAGAATATGCAGCAGTTGTGTGGTGCCCATATCTTAAGAAGCACATCAACAAACTGGAAAAGGTGCAAAGACATGCTACTAAGTGGCTCCCAGAACTGAAGGGCAAGAGCTACGAAGAGGGGGTTAGAGGCATTAAATATGCCAAAACTAGAAGACAGAAGAAAAAGAGGTGATATGATCACTACATACAAAATAATAACAGGAATTGATAAAATCGATATGGAATATTTCCTGAGACCTGGAACTTTAAGAACAAGAGGTCATAGATTTAAACTAGCTAAACACAGATGCCGAAGAAATATAAGAAAATTCACTTTCGCAGAGTGGTAGACGGTTGGAACAAGTTAGGTGAGAAGGTGGTGGAGGCCAAGACCGTCAGTAGTTTCAAAGCGTTATATGACAAAGAGTGCTGGGAAGACGGGACACCACGAGCGTAGCTCTCATCCTGTAACTACACTTAGGTAATTACACCATAGGGGGGCCTCGCGGCTGAGTGGACAGCGCTCAGCGGTCGTAGTACTAAGGGCCCGGGATTGCTTCCTGGCCGAGGCAGAAACAAATGGCTAGATTTTCTTTCAACAGATTCGTCCGTTCACCTAGCAGTAAATATGTACCTTGGAGTTAGACAGCTATTACGGGCTGCTTCCAGGGTGGGTGTGTGTGTATGTGTGTGTGTGTGTGTGTGTGTGTGTGTGTGTGTGTGTGTGTGTGTGTGTGTGTGTGTGTGTGTGTGTGTGTGTGTGTGTGTGTGTGTGTGTGTGTGTGTGTGTGTGTGTGTGTGTGTGTGTGTGTGTGTGTGTGTGTCTGTATTACCATAAATTTATACAAAATATAATGAGCATAAAAGGATTTGGTAAGATGAGAGACTATGCTTGTAAGTATTAAGATATAATGATGCAATTAAACGTCTAATATCATAAGTTATCATATGAAGTGATATGGGCGATTAAATGAGCAAATTATACAAAGTAATTAAGTAGTTTGCGTAAGTTCCTCCGCAGTGGGTATGTTAGTGTCCCGGGCGATGACTGGAGGCTTCTCAGCGTCCTGGTATACCCGTTAATGTTATCTTACTGCACAAGTGTCTTGATTTTGGTCCACTTCCTGTGAGGGGTCTGGTAGACTGTTTGCTGGCCTCTACCTCAGATGGTAGACTGTTTGCTGGCCTCTACCTCAGATGGTAGACTGTTTGCTGCCCTCTACGTCAGATGGTAGACTGTTTGCTGGCCTCTACCTCAGAGGGTAGACTGTTTGCTCTCTTTTATACCAGAGATGGAGACTGATACATTCTACATCAGAAGCGGAGAACGCTTCTGATATAGAATATAGCAAACATTCTACATCACACACACACACACACACACACACACACACACACACACACACACACACACACACACACTCCAGGGAGCCTGGTTGCCTGGTGGATAGCGCAAAGGACTCGTAATTCTGTGCCGCGGGTTCGATTCCCGCACCAGGCAGAAACAAATGGGCAAATTTTCTTTCACCCTGAATGCCCCTGTCACGTAGCAGTAAATAGGTACCTGGGAGTTAGTCAGCTGTCACGGGCTGCTTCCTGGTGTGTGTGTGTGTGTGTGTGTGTGTGTGTGTGTGTGTGTGTGTGTGTGTGTGTGTGTGTGTGTGTGTGTGTGTGTGTGTGTGTGTGTGGACAAAAAAAGTAGTTAGTAAACAGTTGATTGACAGTTGACAGGCGGGCCGAAAGAGCAAAGCTCAACCCCCGCAAACACAACTAAGTGAATACAAACACATACATACACACACACACACACACACAGAGTGAAATGAAGATGAGAAACCCATGGTTTAATCAGAGATGTAGGCTACCTAAGCAGCAAAGTAAAAGGGCGTGGAGAAACTGTAAAAATTACAGGACACTTGAGAGCAGAGAAAGATACCAGAGTGCCAGGAATGAATATGTTAGGATGAGAAGAGAGGCAGAAAGACAATACGAAAATGACATCGCAAGCAAGGCAAAGACTCAACCTAAATTGTTGCATAGCCACATCAGGAGAAAAACAACAGTAAAGGAACAGGTTATGAAATTAAGGATTGGGGCAGAAGGATTCACTACAAACGACAAGGAAGTGTGTGAGGAACTGAATAAGAAATTCCAGGTCTTCACCCTAGAGCAAGGAGAAATTACAGAGATAAGAGAGGGAATAGTTAACCAGGAACCACTGGAAGAATTTGAGATTACCAGTGAGGAAGTAAAGAAGTGTTTACTAGAGTTGGATGTGACAAAGGCTATAGGCCCAGATGGAATCTCCCCTTGGATACTAAAGGAAGGAGCAGAAGTACTGTGCCTACCACTCTCCATAGTGTATAACAAATCACTGGCAACAGGGAAACTGTCAGAAATTTGGAAAGCAGCTAACGTAGTCCCGATATACAAGAAAGGGGATAGACAGGAGGCACTGAATTACTGGCCAGTGTCCCTAACCTGCATACCATGCAAGCTGATGGAGAAGATTGTGCGAAGAAAGCTAGTGGAACATCTGGAGTGAAGGAACTTTGTAACACAGCATCAACATGGGTTCAGGGATGACAAGTCCTGCCTCACAGGGTTACTTGAATTCTACGACCAGGCAACAAAAATAAGGCAAGAAAGAGAAGGGTGGTCAGACTGCATAATTTTGGATTGCCAGAAAGCTTTTGATACAGTACCTCACAAGAGGCTAGTGAAAAAGCTGGAGATGCAGGCTGGAGTGAAAGGGAAGGTATTCCATTGGATAAAGGAGTACCTAAGGAATAGGACACATCGAGTCACCGTGAGGGGTGAGGTATCGGAGTGGCGGGGAGTCATCAGTGGAGTCCTGCAGGGGTCAGTCCTTGGACCTATACTGTTTCTGATATATGTAAATGATCTCCCAGAGGGTATAGACTCGTTTCTCTCAATGTTTGCTGATGATGCAAAAATTATGAGGAGGATTGGAACAGAGGATGATAGTAGGAGGCTACAAGATGACCTAGATAGACTGAATGAATGGTTCAACAAATGGCTGCTGAAGCAAGTACTCAACCCGAGTAAATGCAAAGTAATGAAACTAGGTGGTGGAAAAAGGAGGCCAGACACAGGATACAGGATAGGAGATGAAGTACTTACTGAAACGGACAGAGAGAAAGATCTAGGAGTTGATATCACACCAAACCTATCTCATGGAGCCCACATAAAAAGAATTACATCTGCGGCATATGCGAGGCTGGCTAACATCAGAACAGCCTTCAGGAACCTGTGTAAGGAATCATTCATAATCTTGTGTACCTGTTACGAACCCAAGTTCATCGTCAGAACACGGAGCAGTGACGTCAATGCCATCTGTGAGTCGGCTCCCGTTACCCCCCACAACATGGACGACGCCATCTAGGGGCGACAGGAATATACCGGCAAGAGACGCTAGATTCCTGTCCTAGTCAGCTCGAGAGGTAGCTGGTGCTGACCTCTAGTGAGGTGGTGTTTAGAAAATCAGCGCCATCTGTCATAAGCGGAGTTGGATGTATGTGTCCAAGTCAGTAAGTGTTGTTTCTTAGTGTCCCAGTGTACTGATGACTGACGTGTCTGTATTCACAAAGTCGACATA